ATGCTTCTCACAGCTATATCACACATACTTACCACAGATAGCACACATCTATATCACACATACTTACCACAGATATCACACACCTATATCATACATACTTACCACAGATATCACACACCTATATCATACATACTTACCACAGATATCACACACCTATATCTATATCATACATACTACCACAGATATCACAGAGACTTACCTCAGATGCTTCTCACAGCTATATCACACATACTTACCACAGATAGCACACATCTATATCACACATACTTACCACAGATATCACACACAGATATCACAGAGACTTACCACAGATATCACACACCTATATATATCATACATACTTACCACAGATATCACACACCTATATCAAACATACTTACCACAGATATCACAGAGACTTACCTCAGATGCTTCTCACAGCTATATCACACATACTTACCACAGATAGCACACATCTATATCACACATACTTACCACAGATATCACACACCTATATCATACATACTTACCACAGATATCACAGAGACTTACCTCAGATGCTTCTCACAGCTATATCACACATACTTACCACAGATAGCACACATCTATATCACACATACTTACCACAGATATCACAGAGACTTACCTCAGATGCTTCTCACAGCTATATCACACATACTTACCACAGATAGCACACATCTATATCACACATACTTACCACAGATATCACACACCTATATCATACATACTTACCACAGATATCACACACCTATATCATACATACTTACCACAGATATCACACACCTATATCATACATACTTACCACAGATATCACAGAGACTTACCTCAGATGCTTCTCACAGCTATATCACACATACTTACCACAGATAGCACACATCTATATCACACATACTTACCACAGATATCACACACCTATATCATACATACTTACCACAGATATCACACACCTATATCATACATACTTACCACAGATATCACACACCTATATCAAACATACTTACCACAGATATCACAGAGACTTACCTCAGATGCTTCTCACAGCTATATCACACATACTTACCACAGATAGCACACATCTATATCACACATACTTACCACAGATATCACACACCTATATCATACATACTTACCACAGATATCACAGAGACTTACCTCAGATGCTTCTCACAGCTATATCACACATACTTACCACAGATAGCACACATCTATATCACACATACTTACCACAGATAGCACAGAGACTTACCTCAGATGCTTCTCACAGCTATATCACACATACTTACCACAGATATCACACATCTATATCACACATACTTACCACAGATATCACAGAGACTTACCTCAGATGCTTCTCACAGCTATATCACACATACTTACCACAGATAGCACACATCTTTATCACACATACTTACCACAGATATCACACACCTATATCATACATACTTACCACAGATATCACACACCTATATCATACATACTTACCACAGATATCACACACCTATATCAAACATACTTACCACAGATATCACAGAGACTTACCTCAGATGCTTCTCACAGCTATATCACACATACTTACCACAGATAGCACACATCTATATCACACATACTTACCACAGATATCACACTATATCACACACCTACATACTTACCACAGATATCACACACCTATATCAGACATGCTTCTCACAGATATCACACACACATACATACTTACACAGATATCACACACCTATATCATACATACTTACCACAGATATCACAGAGACTTACCTCAGATGCTTCTCACAGCTATATCACACATACTTACCACAGATAGCACACACCTATATCATACATACTTACCACAGATATCACACACCTATATCATACATACTTACCAGATATCACACACCTATATCATACATACTTACCACAGATATCACACACCTATATCATACATACTTACCACAGATATCACAGAGACTTACCTCAGATGCTTCTCACAGCTATATCACACATACTTACCACAGAAAGCACACACACTTAACAATTTTTTCTCAGCCATCTAGATACTTAATACAGATATCACAGCGACTTAACATGAATGTCAGACACTTTTCACAATCATGTTTCTTTAGTTCACAAATTGCCTAATTAACTATTTTCAACCAAACACAATAAAACCATGAGACTTTGTTTCTTTATGGACAGATCAACACCACAGAAGAGCCAAGAATCTTGGCGTTGTGATGTAGAACGTAATTTCAAAATCATCCTATTTCAACTTCCCCAGTTGGGAACAACTGGACACTGATTATAATAGTATAGAGACCGACAGCCATAATGTGATACTAAGCAATAGAAGGAATAAAGGATTACAATAATTGAAAGCCATAAGCCATAAGACACCACAGAAACAGGAAGTTGACTTATTTACCGGTCAGTGATATCATTTGGAAATTACCAACAGGATTTCTTCAAACATCAGCAGAAACAATCAGGCAACTTTAATCATGTGTTGACAACCGGGATGAAATATTGCAAAAGACATCAAAACAAGCGAGGCATGGTAATTCTGATATGATTGCATCAGCAAAGGTCCAAGCAGGCTAACCATTTCAGACAAACAAAGCGCGCCAGTGTCCTGCAACTGTCATTATCAAGGTCATCATTGCTTCAGGAACATGATCTGATCCCTAAGCCAGCTAAGACACACGGCGGCATGACTGAGGTATTTTCGCTGAAATGGTGCAAGATTACTACAATTTTATGACTGCTCGGACGACTGGCACCACTTTACCATAGCTTCACAGCAGCACACATTCTACAACAATTTTGTTCTCTGTGAAAAGTGAACATGATTAATGTCTACAGTTGGAATTCTTGTTGACTTCATATCAATTAAGTTATCCATGGATGCAGCTGAAAAGGAGAAAATAAACACCAATCTGCTTATGTGATTATTAATGCACTTATCTAACTCTCTATATCAAGGCCAGGTTTGATCCCTCAGAAATATGGCTTCCTTTCCAATCTTGCTCCTACAACTGGGAAATCTTAGGTTCTGTAGCTCACCTTCATTAACAGGCATGGTTTTGTTTGTTTGTTGTTTAACACCACACTCAGCAATATTACAGCTATTTGATAGCAGTCTATAAATAATCCAGTCTGGACCAGACAAGCCAGTGATTGACATCATGAGCATCAGTCTATGCACCTGGGATATGATATTCATCAACCAAGTTAGTGAATCAAGACTGCCTAGCTGATGCTGAAATTTGATTCCTCCGACAAACTGGTGTTGCTGAAGATCAATTCTAACCTGGATTTACACAGGTCCACCTGGAATGGCTATGATCTGAAAAAAAACCCATCCAAATCCCTTGCATTCATCCTGTGAGTGAGTGAGTTTAGTTTTACACCGCTTTTAGCAACATTCCAGCAGTATCACAGCTGGGGACACCAGAAATAGGCTTCACACATTGTACCCATGTGGGGAATCGAACACAGGTCTTTGGCGTGATGAGCAAACACTTTAACCACTAGGCTACCCCACTGCCGCATTCATCCGGTGACTGTGACTGAATAGGGGGCGGTGGGGTAGCCTAGAGGTTAAGGCATTCGCTCATCACGGTGGACACCCGGGTTCGATTCCCCACATGGGTACAATGTGTGGAGAGCATTTCTGGCGTCCCCCGCCGTGATATTGCTGAAATATTGCTAAAAGTGGCGTAAACCAACTCACTCGCTCAGTCACTGTGACTGAATATTTCACATAAATAGGAGACATTTTTCACTGATATCACAGATTTTTCTCACGGATATCAGATGTTTCAAATGGATGCTGTTGACATTTCTCAGAGATATTTCATGTAGATATCTGGTATTTCTCACAGATATCCTACACCACGGTATAACAAACTCAAACAGCCGTTCAATATAACCAGAGTATGTTACATGCATTTTAATTAAATATTGAGTAAGTGGCCGGAACCAAAATCAGTTTGCTATAAGTGTGTTTTACTGTACTTTACAAAGATATCAAATATTTCTCTCAGATATTTCTGACAATTACTTTTTATATACTGAACCACAAAGAAATGTCACACTGACAGGGGTTTCTTAAAGCACACACTTTAATTCACTCTAATTAACAATCAAAACGGAGGATTGAGTCCAAACTTGACAATTATGGTTAACATATTATTGGGATTCACATTTAGAGTTCACACAAACAAAATCACCAAAAATGGTACCATTAAGATACCCCAAAGTCAGTACTGTGTGTGGCCTCTATGGGCATCGATGAAAGCGTTGCATCGTCTGTACATGGAATCAATTAGCCAGTTAATGAAGGCCATAGGCACTTATGCTCCATACTCTGTGAAATGCCTGATCGAGTCTAGCAGCAGTTGTCGGCCTTAGGTGGCGGTCATTCAGTCTTCTTTGAATCTCGGTTCAAAGGTGTTCTATTGGACTCAAATCAAGACTGAGTGCAGGCTATTGTAGAGTTTGTTATGTTGTTTTAGGAATGTTATTTTGGCAGTGTGGGCACGAGCATTGTCTTGGTGGAAGATGTGATTTCTCTAACATCCAAATGTGGTACAATGTGGGGTCTTATGACTTGGTCAATATAGCGAGCAACTGTTACGTCATGTCCTCATCCTGGACTGAGATTCTGGAACACCACGGTGCCAACTATCTGTTTCAGACCGATTGCACCTCACACCATGATGCTTGGACCACCCCACGAGTCTCTTTCAACAATAAACTCACTGGAAAACAGTTCACCATGCCTTCACTCTGCCATCGACTGTTGAAACACAATATCGGCTTTCGTGAGAAAAAAGCACAGTTCTCCATTGTCGATAACGCCAATTTCGATGCCGAGTTGCCCATTGCAGTCAGTTTTGGCGGTGATACTCACTGTATCGGCACTGATAGGCCACTCTTAATATTTATGCATGTGACCTTTGACCAATATCAAAACGAGGTCATACCCGCGTAATCAGCGAATCGTGATGGCGACGAAATCCGGGAGCGATCTGACGGCTGTCCCGTCTCTCACATTTTCCTTCGTGGAGACTTATATACAGATGAATAGCAGAAGTGCCGGGACTTCCCAACTGAACAAAGGCTTCAAATATTATAGTGAAGGGTTCATTTATAATTTGCGAAGTAAGTTTCATTCATCAATTTCCAATGTTGTAAATGGTACAGTAGCGATCGCAATATGGCTGTCAATGTCATTATGTCATTGCTGATTTATGATTGAAGAAGGCTTATTTTCCTCTTGACATGTTATCATATTGACTTCACCCTGAAAATTACGGGACATCGTTAATTATTATGAAGTGCAACTGAAAAGCTGTTTTTGAACTACTTTTACCTAAGTTCCATCATGTCAATAACCTAGGCGTAACCGTCAGATAGTTATTAGATCTATGTAAAATTCAAATGATGTTATTTAGGTGTAACATTATTCCCTTGTCTTGTATTTTTTCACCTGTAATCGGTTTTGGCAGCATCATGTGATGACACATCTTAGCGTAATAACAGCTCGTTGTTACCGTTCCATGAAGAAAATGACTTCGCCACACAATATAACTGTAAGTTGGGTTCATAGTATTGTCAAGAAAAAATATTATCAGTCTGATATCAGAATATATATATTATATATTATTATATATATATATATATATATAAAATATAGGAACACATATTTTGTAAAATATCTCATTTATGTTAAATTGTGATAGCCTAGTACATTCATTTCACTCAAGTACATGTACTATGAAATGCAGGTCACCTTAGAGAGCAGTCCAGTGGTTAAAGTGGTCAGCGCCAGCTGCAGCTGTGCCATAGGTCAGAGCCAGTGTTGTGGTCATGTGACAGGTATGTCATTAGCCTATTTCAATGAATAATAAGTAATTTCTGTATATATTAAACTGAGTATCTGATTTCATTGTTCCTGAAAATATGTTTTTCTTACACAGGTGTTTTATATCTGGTGGCCCACTATAAGCAGAGAGGAATGAAGTCCATCCCACAGGATATTGCCAAGACCTCCATGCCACAGACATGGCACATCCCTCACCAGGACAAAATATCCGGTATGTCAGTACCAGAGATAAAGGTTTCTGGATACAAGAGTGATGGAGAGGACAGGCCAGTGAAATCAACCCTTTACAACCCCATTAGGTCTACCCTTCCACCATTGGAACCATTTTTTTCATCCCTGAAGTTAAATCATCCTGATCTATCACTATTAACAACAGTTCCACAGACTGATGAGCCAGCACCACCTTTTGTAAGAACTAATTTTGGATTGTTTCCTAAGGGTAGCACCATCAGCCATCAACAGAAATTATCTGGAAATTATCTGATAAACATTGTGGATGGATTTTTCCTGATTTGCCCATTAGTGCTGAGCAGACAGGAGAGAACAACTACAGCAGTGTGCTGACAGAGAGTCAGACAACTCTGCTAGACTCACTCAGTGTCAGTCAGGATGAGGCTGTGGAGATAGAGAAGGCTACCAGACTCCAGGCAGGACAAGAAGTGGGTTAAGTCTGAGGGCGTCCTGGGGTCACAGCTTGAAAAGTGGAGAAATTTCAAAGCGTAAAAGGTAAACAGAAAATAAACCTAATTAACATTAAGTTTTATGTCATTAATTTCATTAAAAGAAAATGTTGCACCCAAATCCATTACATTAAAAAAAATAATAATAAAATTTCAGAACCAGAGAAGTTTGCAGAAAGACTGAGATCTTCTTCTAGGACCGTCCTCACAGAGGCAATGAGAGAGGGCATTGCCAATGAGCCTTTTGCAGTAGAGGCATATGGGAAGGTAAACATTTCAGATTGATTAAATCATATGTGTAAATGGATCAACTGAATAAATGTACATGTGTATATGTAATTAACATTGAATGTTAATATTTGGGATTAAGGAGAGTAATCTCAACATACATAATAAATATAAAGAAGTGTACACATGTGCCTATATTTAAAATTGTATGTTGATATTTCAGCTAAAGGAGGGCAATGTGAATATATATCCCTGTGGGATTGTAATAAGTCCCAGAGCAGCATGGATGGCTGCTTCTCCAGACCGGAAGGTGCTAGACCCCAGCTCCAACCCTCCTTTTGGTCTACTGGAGGTGAAGTGTCCAGACCTGCGGAATAAGGACCTCTGTGATCTGCAGTACCTCAGCCTGAAGGACAATGGCCAGCTTGCTCTTAAGGCAACATGTAACTACTATCATCAGATCCAGATGCAACTGGCAATGACTGGTTTGAAATGGTGTGATTTCTTTGTCTGGTCTGAAAGGCAACACCATCTCGAGAGAATTGACTTTTGTCCTGAGAGCTGGCAAAGGGTGAAAGACAAGGCAGATAAATTCTTCTTTGATTACCTTCTTTCATAGTTTCTGTACTACTATGTTAGAAGTCATTTCTCTGATTATTTCAATTACCAAAAAAATCAGCAATATTCTTAACATCAAGCTAGATGAAATCATATCAAGTTTAATGCATTCAGAAAATACAAGAAAATCAACTTCTTTCATTGTTTAATTGATAAACATATAATGTGAGGTATATATTTCATATATACATCAAACATGTTCTCTGTTCATAACACTTTGTGTATTGTTATTAATCATTCAGAAACAAAACCATGCAATATTGATCTAGTTCACTGCTTATTAGAAATTCTGGCATTGTTTAAAGAGATACTCACAATTTCAGCATATCCTAATTCTGAGCATTTTTACTTACTACCTGTGTATATTTCAAAACATTGATATCTATAAAAATGTAAAAAATCTGTGTATTAACAAAATATACAGTCGATGAAATATTACAGATTTAGCTGTAATCACATTTATTAATTTATATTCACAAGTTTTTTGAGCATTTGTCATAAAACTTTTTTTGTTACAGTAGCATTTATTCAACAGAATCAATAAGGACATCTTTTGACAATATAACAACTTAAATGTAACTTTGTTACCACAACATAATCTTATCTGTAATACAGACAGACAGACAGTATTCATTCAGTAAAGAGGCCCTAAGCCCATAATACAATCAGACTGACATTGTTTTAGTGGGTTACATAATACAACTTTGCAGCTCTATGTCCTGGAGTTCAGTTTCTGTACATGGTATAAGTATAGGCCAAGACTGTATATGACAGCATCATTTTGCTTTGCAAAAGATTTCTGACAGAGTAATGAGTAAGTGGTTCTTTAGTGAACTTTGTTATATATTTCTTTCTAGGTATATCATAGGTATTACAAATATATAGTACATGATATTCATTTTCTATATAATGCTGACCTCTGGTTTTACAAAAGGACATAGCCCTTACGTTATATTCAATTCCATTATACCTGCCACATTCAACAGCCGTTATTAAATTACTGCATCTAAACCTTGATATAGCAATTCTTATATGCACAGGGATATCACAACACAAATATTTTTAATATTTAACAAAGTTTTGAACTCCTTGTAAAATATACATTAAGAAGATTCACTAATTGATGAGAACCAAGACTGTTTTAAGTTATCACCTAGCCTTAGCTTGAATAGATACACAGAATATTCCACATTTCCAATTTCTTGGCTTAGCCAAGCATAACCAAATCCATATTGAAACAGGATGTGTCTAACTCCGGTTACCCAGGTATTATAGCCTAAGCTATCTGGTGATCTGAACATGTAATACAAATTTGTATTTTGAAGTTTTCAGAAATTTATTTAATTTGAGTTTTTACTATGATCATAGTTTCATAATAGGTCCTGAATCTATTATAAACTCTGATGAAAACTAACTAACACTGTAAATAAATACTCTGTTATACCATTAGTGTCAATATGATGTATATATTATGTTCTCATAAAAATGCAATACAAATTTCATGCTAATCAACATTAAACCTCAATCAGTTTTCTTTCATTTCTTTTTAATCAAAGGTCCTTGAAAACTTGATGTAATGCATGCTACAGTCCACAACTGATTAATGCTGCCCAGTTCAGCAAGAGAGACTGTAGAATCAAACAGGTGATTCTCTTTAACCCTTCTGATCAGTCTTTCTACATGAATCCTAAGGGATGCAATGGACTGTGTCTCCCATACTTCACTAGGCGTGAACTGTCAGAGGAATACAGAAATGGAGGAATGTTCAGACCAACACCTTTCTCACTCAGTATACTGGCAATAGTAAAACCCTTATCAGTCATAACACTGTCCCCAGGTTCCAGCAAATCTAGAATGCCAGACAGTTTAGTTATTTCAACATCTGACATAACACCTGTGTACAGATTGGATACAAAGGTAATAGCACCATTTGGGGCAATGCCAATCAGACCTTTCAGAGTGCAAGAGCTCTTGTAATGGGAGTAAAACATGGAATTTAACACCAAAGCTGAGGGAATTTGGATCCTGAGCTCAGTACAATCTAAAATGACTCTTGTAGATGGGTAAGTTATCTGAAATTCAGGAGGCATGTGTCTGTCTACTGTCACTCTGGAAGGCCAGATAGGAACTGATCCAAGAACAAAATAGAAAAATTTGCCCAGGTGATAATTTTTCGAGGAGCTAACAGTCGAAATATGGCAGTTAAAGCGAACAGCAAGATCCTGTTCTGGTAAACCAAGCCTAAAGTACAAAAACATGAACATTTCATCAATAAGGGCCATATTTCTTGGTCTACCTGCAAGAGAAATGGCATTTGAGCATGTATAATACATACTGCACATATTGGAGGCACTTGGTTTTACAAAGTCAAAAACTGTTTGAACAATTTATAGCTCTGAAAAGATGTATAGTACTGGATCATATCATCATTTCCAGCAAATCTTTCCAGTCCAAATCTCTCAAGGGTGAGCTGTTCTTTTAACAAATCTTTCTCCTCCTCAAGCTCTTGAATTCTTTTTAGAAGCACCTGTGAATCAAACAGACTGATATCTGTCTGGGTCTGAGCTGACAACTGGTGCTCACCTTCAGCATGAGGGTCACAATCTGACATGGAGTTTGCATTTTCAGAACTGAAAAAATAAAGAATTTACTTTCAGTGGAAATCAAAATGTTTGTATACTTCAACATTTATTCATTTCTAAATATTATGATGAGGTATGAGGGTCATCAGTGATTATGAATCCTTCATCTGAAATTTAATTAGATGGAAATACTTTAAAATTAATGGATACCACAAAAAGAAAGACATCTTTAGTTAAATAGCATTTGAACTGAAGTAGTGCTTACACATCTACCAATTTGTTTTAACTCTTAAACTGACCTTTCCCATGAAATAACTTGTTTTGGCATCAGTGGATGGCGGATGGCTGGTGCTTTTCTGGACTTCATATTTTCCAAGTTCCAAGGAAATATGGATGGCACAGATCCTTGCTTGAGGGTCTTCCTTACCGGTGTGTACTTGTAGTCCTCAGGCGAAATGCTTCGAGCAAACAACACTCTTCCTGGTGATCTAAATACAAGTGAAATTAAAATAAGTCTACTGTCATTATAGATTTTGAGCTCCAAGATTTAAAAATCTCTCTTTTTTTAATAGTTACAATAAATAGTTGTGTATATAAGTGATTCTATAATAATTCTTCCTGGGTCCATCTGCCATTGTTTCAAATAGGACCACGAAAGGCTAATGTATGCAATCGTCCTGGTAATTTAGTAACACGAAAGGATAGTTGAAAACAAATTTGACATGCAAAATGCTATCATGTAGTTGTTTGAGACAAAATATCTTTTTGTCTTATAATCTGTTTGACAACTGCAGCTCCGATAATATATTCGTTGCTGTTTGGACGACTCAAATTCTCGAGATTTAATTTCGAAAATCCTGAATGAAAATTTTAACCTACCGTAAAGAAGGGTCCTTCGTCCTGACGAATGGCAATTATCCATCTCCTTCGCACATCTTCAGCCTTCGGAAATGTGTGAAACGAAAGTGAATTGTTGTATCTCGCATCAGATGTACACTGAGGTACAGAGCAGTGATCAGCTGCCATATTTGCGGGTATAACCTCGTTTTGGAATCGGTCAAAGGTCACATGCATAAATATTAAGAATCCGCTATGGGTCTGTTGTGAGTCCCAGTGGTCTGGCGTGCTCTTTCCGTCGCTCTGTGGAAGCGACCCTGCAGATGGTGGCGCACAGTCTGTTGGTCTTGACATTGTGATATCACTCCTGCAGTTGGTAGATTGTCCTAACATGAACATTAAAATGATTGGCAGTCTGGCCAACTTGCAATCGTCCGAAGGCTTGGTTCCTCTGATCTCTTGTACTTCGTGCCATGGCGATTGTGTCAAAACAAAAATGATTTCAGACAAGTTTGGGACTCACTTTCATTGGTAGGGTTGTCACGATATGCACATGCACTTTCATTTTCATGAATGTCATACGGAACCTTTTACCACGTCTGCCTTTGTAGGTGCGTTTGGTCGATATGCATTTTCATCAGAAAACACACTGATGTTGGTGATAACTGTCAATTTGGATTGCAAAACATGTTAACAAAATGATACAATCATAATAAAAATACCATTTTGTAAGAACAAAATTTTGCATTTGGTTTTGAAAAGCGATGTTTCTTTTGTGGTTCAGTATAGATACCACATACCTTTCACAAGAATGAGATACTTCTCCAGCTACCTCAGATATTTCCCAATCTGTTGTTTTGGTTTGTGTGTAGTTGACCCCAGCAATATTCCAGCCATGTAATAAAACCAGTGATTGAGAATACGAGCAGATTCGAGGGTACCTTGCTATGATGACATAATCAGAGGAGTCACTGAGTCTGACCACCTGATCTGGCCAGCACAGGTTGCTCGATGACCATTTCAAAGCCAGAATCCCCGGGATGGTCTTGTGACACCGGCAATAAAAGCAATAACTGATTGGTTCCTGTTAAATAACAATAACCAAGCACGTGAGTGGGTGAGGTGGGTGAGGTGGGTGAGTGAGTGAGTGAGTAGATGAGTGGGTGAGTTGGTAAGTGGGTGAGGTGGGGGGTGAGTAGATGAGTGGGTGAGTTGGAAAGTGGGTGAGGAGGGTGAGGTGGGCGAGTGAGTAGATGAATGGGTGAGTTGGTAAGTGGGTGAGTGAAAGGGGTGATTGGTCGGATAAGTGAATGGGTGAGTGAGTGGATGAGTGGGTAAGGTGTTTGAGTGAATGGGTGGGTGAGTTTGCGAGTGAAAAATGGGATCAGTCGTTGAGTGAGTGAGTGAGTGAGTGAGTGAAAAAGTGCATGAGTGATGGAGTAGAAGTGAGTGAGTGAGTGAGTATTGTTTCATACTGGGAGTATCCATGGGGTATCCATGCATCCACATTTACTGAAGCATGTCTTGGTAGACCAACTCTTATAAGTCCAGACAAGTACAGACAGACGCATTTTGAACTCAACTCAGGTGAGCTAACTGTGATTCCACAAATAGTAAGTTGATAAACATATCCTTCAGACTGATGTCTAAGCAGCACTAAAGCTTATGTCAGGTGTTCATGATACGTAACATAACACTGGATATTGTCTGACTATTTTCAGCTCAGCTGGTGACTAACCTGAATACAATGCAGAACGATGGATTTTGACACCATATTCGCTGTGACAGTTTTTGGACGATAAAAACAAGTTCTTGCAAAATTTTGAATGAACCCTGTTGTTTGCTCAGTGCTACACTCAGCTGATTTCTAGGTTAACTGAAGGAGGAATGAGTTTTGATTTGATAATACAGGGGTTGATATCATGAACAAACACATGTAGTTTCAGGATACTGTGATGACACATGATGAACAGACTCAGACCATACGGGCCATATAACCTGTGTGGTAAAAGAAAAAATACCAAGTTTTTTTTTATGTGTTAATGAAACTTGAAACAGGTTAATTTGAGTTTGTCTCAAGTTTGTCTGAGTTTGTAATTTTGCAGAAACATAACTGATTCAATAAAGACTGTAGCAAGAAATGAATTTGCAGTCAATGTTCATTTTTCTTTGTATAATATAAACTCCCATTCTTTAACGTTGACTAATCACATGACACACCTGAGAGGTAGTTTCTTTTGCTGCTCAGTAAAGTAGGGCAGCCCGACAAACAGATTGTTTATGACCAGGGACCACTTGCACAAAGCAATCTTAGCATTAAGACGATCGCAACTCCCATTCGTTAACATTGACTTATCACCTGACACACCTGAGAGGCACAGATTAGAGATATTTTAATCAGTACCATGTGTGAAACTGACGCTGTTGCTTGTGCAATAATTAAAACACCATGAAAGTTAAGAGAGAAGATGATAAAAGCAAGTTTTAAATAAACTGAATCACACTTCATGGAACTGCCAATTGGCCCAAACCCAAACTTTCTTATCTTACTCCAAAATGTCAATCTTATGATAACACTTCTTAATTAGGAATTTCTTATTACTCTGTCAAATTAATGACAGTAGCTTGGCGGTTAATTTCTAACAAAACATTGAGTCAGTTTTTAGTGAGTGAGTTTAGTTTTACGCCACACTAAGCAATATTCCAGCTATATGGCGGCGGTCTGTAAATAATCGAGTCTGGACAAGACAATCCAGTGATCAGCATCATGAGCATCGATCTGCGCCATTGGGAACCAATGACATGTCAGCAAGTCTGACCAGCCGATCCTGTTAGTCGCCTCTTACGACAGGCATAGTCGCCTTTTGTGGCAAGCATTATTCTACCCCAGATCTTCAAGGGTCGAGTCAGTTTTTAAGTTCAGCATCATTACCAGATGTAAGGTTTCAAATGTAAGTGCTCTCTTTGTCTCTTGTGCTCAGAATTATACATCAGGTAAAATCACTGGTTTTAGAGAAAGAAAAAGATATTTTCTTTCAAGACCAGCTTGTGTAAAATTAAAGACCCAAACTAAAATATGGCCTGGCAGTGTTCGCGAATAGTGTCTGACCCTCTGACAAATCCGGCAGATTCGCCAACGGTCCGATAGAAGTCTACAACCCACCAGACCCAGTGTCTGACTGTATATTTCACAATGACTTTGACTGAAGTTGTTATATGTGACATGTAACACTTGTTTGCTGTTTATTTTATCTTAATTTTTCTTATGTTTGTTAATAATTTCAATGCCAATTATAAGAAATGTTAAATCTGAAATGTGTGTTTAATTTTATTCCATGGGTCCTGTGAATTTTCAATGGGTCAGACAGACATCTTAAACTTACAGGACCCAATGTCCTGTTACTTTGAAACACCATTCGTGAACACTGGCCTGGCATATATATATGATAGAAGCAATAAAACAAACGCTATGGAGTATACTTTTTTACCATGTCAGCGGAACACAATCAGCCAACTCTTATTTTAGTGACTTACGCAAAATGCGATTGAAACAGTCGCAAACAAATGTCCATGTTGAATTTAGATGGAGTGAGTGAGTTTAGTTTTACACCGCTTTTTAGCAACATTCTAGCAATACCATGGCAGGGGACACCGAACCCAGGTCTTCGGCGTGACATACGAATGCTTTAACTACTAGGCTACCCCACCGCCCTGAAATCAGATGGAGGGATGGTCAGCAAACCTGTGTCCTCTGACCTACCATGTGGTGATACAGAGTAATAATAGATAACACATGGTTAAAAAAGAAACGTCATGATAGACAACCATATGATTTAAGATTAAACAATGTCACGATGGACAATCTGACTTGACTTTTCAGACATTTGATATCAGGTGATCATATACACAAAGAACTTAGTTAAGCACCCCCTGACATATCTCACGATTGAATGAGCCCCGATCTTAACCCTTTGGCAATATCTGGGACATGATTGGTCGTCTTGTGCAACAAAGGGATTCTCCTGTACAGAACCTGGCCCAGTGGGAAGCTACTATACACGAGGAATGGCGTAGACTGCCCCTTCAGAGGATCAGGAGGCTGACAGGGGGTATAAGGAGGAGGGTGCTGGCTGTCATACAGTCACATGGTGGTTACACTTGGTATTGACATTTAATCGTGTAAGGCACGCAAAATGACATTTTGAATGTTCACATTCACCAATGAATTCAACATTAAACATTCCAGGCCATACTTGTACAGATATGGTTTTGTATGAAAATCAGTGTGTTTTTTAAATGAGCAATCATCATCATAAAATCAACATGAATTCCAATCAGTTTGTCATTTTGTATGAGTCAAAGGATCATACGGGTAATAAAAACTCATGTTATTCCATCGTGGTCACCACGAGAAGTTTTATGTACGTGTTGAAAACCTATCATTGCAAAAATTCAGGGGGTGCTTAATTAAGTTCTTTGTGTATATTTCAACTGACACAGAAATCAAGCACATTCCACTTGTACATCAACTTAAAGTTCAGACCAAACAATCGTTCCCTGTAAAAAGATAATGAAATTTGCAAGAAAAGGCAATAATCAAACATTCATTACGAACTATTTTAAAAAGTTTCACAGAACACACACATTTCAGTAAAGAAAAGTTATATTTCTTATATTACATGTTTCACAATTTCAGTTCTAACCATGACATTTAAAAGTCCATCAAGACATCTGGTTTCAGTCCTTAAGAACAATGAAGGCCAGATGTTACTTTTAGGACATCATCTTATCCCAGATATGTGAATATTTTAAACTATCTTCTCAATTTCTAAAACAATTCAAGTGTCTAGTTATTCAAATGACCTTTTGGAACAACTCTAGCATTTTCTTTTCTACAAACAAGTTGAATATGAGAAATCACAATGCAAGGTTGGTTGGGTTGTCTGTTGTTTAACGCCGCACCCAACAATATTCCACGTATATGGCGGTGGTCTTTAAATAATTAAGTCTGGACCAGACAATCCAGTGATCAACAGCATGAGCATCGATCTGAGCAATTGGGAACCGATGACATGTGTCAACCAAGTCAGCGGGCCTGACCACCAGATCCCGTTAGTCACCTCTCATGACAAGCATGGGTCACTGAAGACCAATTCTACCCCTGATTTTCACGGGTCACAATGCAATGACTCTTTAAGTATGGAAAGTAAAACATGTATATGAACAGGTACATACACAAAATTATAGA